ATTTTTTCAAAAAATGGAAGAAATTGTGGCCAAAATTCGAAAAAAAAATCTAAAGAAATAATTTAAAAATGTACTTAAATGTACCGCTTTTTTTAAAAACGCCATACTAGTTTGGATAATATTTGAAAAAGGTCACATTTTGGTAAATTTAAATTTTCCGGTATAGACCAAGAGCCACTCCAACAAGTAACTTTTTTTTTGCTTTATGTCAGAAAACTATATTGAACCATCGATTTTTCATCATAAAATAACACTAAATTATAAAAATCTGCACTTAAATACACATATTTATTGTTTTCTGCATAAATAAAATTACATTAGAGTGGTTCAATTTTGATATTTTTACGAGAATCAAAAATCGTACCCCCATAATCTCTGTAGGATGGTCATAGATACACGACTATGATAACTGTTTTGAAAAATAAATACCTTTCCTTTCTGTGTCAAACCCAGGACTATTGACTGTAAAACCAGTCAGCTAACTATAGTTACTTATAGTCAATAGTAACTTAATCACTTTTTTTCCACTTATATAAAAATCTCAAAACTTCATATTAAAATCCCCAAAAAATTGGATTTTTGTATGGGAACTATGTCTGTATGATGAAGTAAAAACGTGAAACTTTGCAAAGATTTTTTTTTTACCAAAAAATAAGATCCTGAAAAGTTTGAAGTAATTTGGATCAAAGTGAAACACATTTCCCATATAAAATTTTCGATTTTTTGTGATTTTTATATGATTTGTGAAATTTGTGAATTTTTCAGTGTATATCATAGTGAAGTTTTTTGCACCCAAATTCTTGAAATATTTTCGCATGTATCGTCTCATGTGCATTTTCACGATTAATTGCGCATTTCGAACGTATTGTTCGATCGCAAATTTCAATATTTGGTCGACATTTTCGAAATCCAATTTGGTTTCGATGTCGTTCTCTAAAATATTTGTTTGCATTGAATTTGGCCAAAAATTTACAACGGATTTCGACATCGGAACCATTGTCAACCAACCGATTCAATATGAAGAGCACATAAAGCGATGCCAATTTGAACATTTTTGAGGAATTGACCACAACTCTTTCAATTAAATCACTCAGGCGTTGTTTGTCTGGGAAAACTTTTTCATCGCGCAAAAATTGATTCAGTTTCAGGTTTTTATTCTTTGTTTCACCTCGTTTTGCTCTCATTTCATTTTGGCGTTTCAATGGCTTTTTTGTCGTTGTCGTTGTAGCTGCTGATGTTGATGCGGCTGCCACTGCCGCTGTCGATGTGGATGGCTGTGGATTGGCATTTGGTGCATTCAGTGGCACTTGATTCACATTTGATGTTAATGTGGATGGTAATGGACTTGGTGATCGAGTCATTTGGCCACCCATTTGATTTACCATGCCCATTTGGATGGGCTGCTGTTGTTGTTATAAATCAAATAAATCACATTTTCAACCAAATTTACACAAAAATATGCCGTTAATTACTTGGGGTTACCCACGAACACGATACTAGAAAAACTAGAACATATTAGAAAGATGTCAAATGTACATGTCATATGGCGTTTTACTAGAAATATTAGAAAAAATTAGCAAATATTAGAATCCGTGGTTTTCCCCTCGGTTAATTAACAGAAAAAAAACATTTACCATTTGATTTATGAAAGCATCACATGCTGATGCATCTAAACGTACGACACAATCGAGCAAATTCACAGAATTTTGTGTTTGTCCAGAAATACTTGTTGAAGTATTTGTTGGCCGATTTTGTTGTGGTCTCCTTCTCTTTGGTCGATCAAATCCCGTACGATTTGCCTTTCGGCGACGTTGTCTCGTTTGTTCATTTGGTCTCATTGTCGAATTAACTGTGAGAGCGGAAATTAAGAAAAAATTCATTTTTAATTTTGGCACCAAAATGCTGTATCAAACGTAATCGATTGTCAATTGTATTCAAGAAATTTATCGAAAAAAGTAGCAATTTAATTTTTTTTAAATTAATAATAATGATACCTGATTCTGATGCTTGGCTTTGAGCTTGAGCTTGAGCTGGAACCACACCACTTCTATTCGTGGTCGTTTTGCAGCTGGCGAATTACTCGGCGAACGACTGGGCGAACGATTTGATGAACTATTTGATGCGCTATCATCGCTGTCATCTCGGAGAGAGATTCCCAGGCCTCTTAATGATTCACGAATTTGTTTTCGTGCTATGACTACTGATTTTCTACGTGGTCGCATTATCTTTTTTTAATTTTTAATTTAAAAACATATTTCATTTCATATACCTACATAATTTGAATTTGATTTTGTTTTTTTTTCCGTTGAATTCGTGCGCAATTAAAAATTGGTCTCCCGTTTTACACTGGCTTTGACCGATTTCAAAACCTAAAACACAAAATTACTGTAATTTGCTAACGAACGGAAAAAACCTTCAGAAAAGGCGAGCGTTCGATGCTAAAAAAAATGTGTGTAGTGAGCACACTTTGAACAAAACTTTTTTTTCGATTCATTCTTGCCATTTTTTCGGGAAATCCCCCGTGAATTTTGAAGGACATGCTCTGCAGAAGAACACCATCGAAGTAATGACTTTATGATGATGTTATTTTGAAGGTACATTTTAGGTACAATTATTATCAGCCATAAAAATTTAAAAAATATCTTTGAGTTTTATTTTGGCTAGTTGACCGGCAAATTGAAGTGCCCCGAAATTTGAACCTCAAATATTAGCCAAACGAGTAAGGTATAATTAAAAATAAATTGCGGTACAATTAAGTACATTTTTGGTACAATTATTTAAACCTAGTCCCAAGTTTCGACTTTCACATGTGCGGACATTCGAATATACATCCGGTATAATAAGCCGGTAACGGTATGTTGATTTGCTCGAATTGGAAAACAATCGAACGTATTGTTTGCACTATTGCGTAGTGACAGTATTCGTTGTGCCTTGGTGAGTGTGTATCTTAAAATTTCAATCCTTTTGCAATTCTAACGCTGTTTTGTGGTTCTTCGCAGCGAAAAACTGTACACATCTTCTTTTGACTGACTGGCTAAAATAATATAGGGGAGAGTCACGTAGGTTGAGATGGCACGTAGGTTGAGACACCCCGAAATTTTTTTGTTTGACAGCTGGCAGACATGTTATTTGTACTGTCAAGTTGTTGAATCATTGTTAGTAAACTTTTCGTAGTGTATTGACGTGTTTTCACGCACTCATTGTACTTGAGCCAGAGCACCCAAAAAAAATTTCGGAAAAAAGTGATTTCAAAAATTTGACCAAAGTAAAAAAATTGCCATTTTTTGTGGTACAAAAAGGTGAGCATGACATTT